GGGTGAATTTGTAAAAACATGCATGATGAAGGCAGCGGAGATTGTGTGCCCTGAAAAGCGGCAGGCTTTTGCAAATATCAGCCTGACAAGAAACACAGTTGCAGACAGGATTTCCGATCTTTCAGTTGATTTGGACAGCCAGTTGAAGCAAAAAGTAAAGTCATTTATTGCGTTTTTCGGTTGCAATTGATGAAAGCACGGACATTACAGATGTTGCACAACTGGCCATTTTCATCCGCGGAGTTGATGACACATTGACCGTCACCGAGGAGTTCGTGGAGTTGGTGCCGATGACAGATACAACGACAGCAGCTGATATTTTTACCGCACTCGTCGGCGCGCTGGACAGGGTCGGAGTGGACTGGTCCCGCGCTGTCAGCCTGGCTACAGATGGTGCGCCCTCAATGATCGGGAAAAAAGCAGGCGTTGTGACAAAGTTCAGAGAGAAAGTGCAATCTGCAAATGGAGGACGTGATTTTTTGACTTTTCACTGTATTTTGCACCAGGAGGCTTTGTGTTGCAAGTCATTAAAGATGGATAACGTCATGAAGGTGGTCATCCAAACTGTTAATTTCATCCGATCCAGAAGCCTGAATCACCGTCAGTTTGACAGCCTTCTCAGAGAGAAAGACCACATCTATGGCCTGCCATACCACACTGAGGTAAGATGGTTAAGCCGAGGTGCTGTGCTGAGGCGTTTCTTTGATTTACGAGAAGAAATTGAACAGTTCATGGAAGAAAAGGGCAAACCAGTGTTAGAATTTCATTCCGCAGAATGGATGCAGGACCTTGCATTTATGGTGGATGTTACAGAGCATCTGAATAACTTGAACAAACAGCTGCAAGGGCGCAACAAAGTTGTCACGCAGTATTATGACAGCATACGTTCTTTCAAGTTGAAGCTGTCATTGTGGGAGACGCAACTTGCCGGTGGTGATGCAGCTCACTTCCCCTGTCTGAAAAATGTGTGCGCGACCCAACATGTGGCAGACATGAAGCGGTTCAAAGATAAAATAACGGGACTGTTACGGGAGTTTGAGCAACGCTTTCAGATTTATGTTTATATGTTTTTATGTTGATGTGCTATTGTTTTTAATTGTTTTTATTTTATTTGTATATTTAACCTATTCTTGACTCTGTGGTTCTTGCACTTGTTTGGGGAACAGGATTTCATTATTTTTATCTACATTTCTGCCTGAGAAATGACACCCTGATATAGTTCTGTGATCTGTGAAACAGTTCTGTTAATCACTGAGGCATTGTGTGTTTGTGTGTTCTTTTTCTTTAGAATTTTCAAATAAACTTGACGTGTTTTATGATTAATAGTGATGTTGTGCTTGTACTATTTTGGACACACTGTCCTCAGGCTCCAGCTTTATGTTGTATGTTGATCGTATTAAAACAAAGAAAACAATCTGAAGTTGTTGTTTTTAAGTTATATATACCATGATGTTTCCGGTCCGGCCCACTTGGGAATAGATTTTCCTCCATGTGGCCCCTGAGCTAAAATGAGTTTGACACCCCTGGATTAGAGGGACAGTAGAGTGCTGAGTACCAGACAGTTAGCAAGTTTGGTAGGCTACTAATGACCATCAGCAGCATCAGAGCTTGGAGAAGCCTAGTTACTGTGACTAAACAGTCATGTGGAGTTTAACTGCGGTCATGAGGGTTAAGTGCCTTGCTCAAGGGCACATCGACAGATTTTTCACCTAGTCGGCTCGGGGATTAGAACCAGCAACCTTTCAGTTACTGGCACAACGCTCTTAACCACTAAGCTACCTGCCGCCCCAGTATTGTTAGTGAACTCACCAGTGACACTGATGCTGAGGGAATAACTAGGGTTGACAACTGGGGCTGACCTTTCCTCTTCCCAAAACATACAGTGAGGTACCAACACATGCATTATTGAAATATAGATGGCCAATAATATTCAGTGGGGCTCCACAAAGTAATAAGTATGCTAATGTTGCATTAAATGCTATGGCTGAAATGACTAAAGAGCATCTTTAAATGTGTGCCCAATATGAAGTAGTTATGAAAGCACTAAGATGAAAGAGAGATGCTCTGATTTACCTGCCACTGTCAGATTGACAATATCACTCCACTCAGAGTCCTGTTGGTCACTTTTACGTCTACCAATACAACTGTAGCCACCAGCGCAGTAATACGCCAAAATAAAGATATATTGATATGTTTTCATTGGAGACTTGACTGAACTAGGTGTATTCCATGTGTACTCCCAGTCAGTGACTATTTCACCCTTTATGTCACATCTGAGATAGACAATATCTCCAAAGTATATCTCTGTGTAAGGCTCCACTGTCACTACAGGTTTTGGTCTCTATGCACAAACAAAACCAACTAAACACAATTACCACAATTAACACATTTCTTTACATATCATACACAATTTGACTGAGGAGTGAGTTTCATTGAGCCCAATCTGATTCCTTTGCCAGATGTAAGAAACAATGTAGGCATACAGTTCAAGAAAGTGGATCTAGATCTAACACGCAGGATATGAACCCTGGTCTCCCACAGGAACAACCAACATTTTAGACCTTAGACCAATAGTGAATTCCCTTTTGGTCCAGGGGCAGACACTGGTTTTGAAGTTCACAGGCGGGGGCTACCTCATCACGTGACCATGAGTAACTATGCCCGACTCATTTCCACTACATAGGGTTGAAAATTCTGGTAACTTTCCCAAAATTCTCTTTATTTTCGCGGTTGGGATATTCCTGGAATCAGGAGGGAATAAACGCAAAATCCGGATTCCTACAGGATTTCTGGAAAACCTAGGATTTTTTGGTCATTTATAACTCTAGTTGGATCACATAAAAATTTAGAATAAATAATGTGATGATTAAAACAAGCAGTATATTCAGTAGCTTAAGGGAAACAAAACATGGGGAGAGGTTTTGTGTGGGTGGGTCTTGGGTAATTTGAGAGGCAAAATTCTAGGTAGTTAGGGAGAAAAAGGCAGGAACGTTAATATGAAAACGTTATAAAATAGATAAAGCTAGGTACCACTACAGGATATTGTTATGTGAAATGTACATGCAATTCAGACTTCATCCACTAAACAGAGTGACACTGGGCCAATCCACTTAACTATTAAGTTTATAGAAGTAAATTATGAAGATACTGTAAAATCCTGGTCACTGCTGCCCTATACTGAGATCCTCCAGCGACAGCTCATCTGTACTTTAGGATACAGGCTCTTTTGGACCAAGGACTTCACTCAGTCAATCATGTGCTGCTGTCCCCTGAGAGAAAGTGGACTTACTACAAGCTTTCAGTTGTGCACACAAATATTAACGGTTAAACAATAACTTCTCAGAATGGGTCTGCTTCTCAGAATTGGTGGTAAAGGGTTAATTGAACAAAAGAAAGGCAAATATTATTTGACCACACCCCAAACAATTCTTCAAGTCAAGCAGCACAGACTATACACAGGACCTTCGGGACAGTAGTCTCAGAAATCCCAGACCTAGGGCAACAGCACTAGAACATTGGTACATTTTTACACAGCTGATTCAAATAATGAACTCATCATCAAGCTTTGATTATTTGAATCAGCTGTGAAGTGCTAGGGCAAAAACCAAAACGTGCACCCTTTGGGGTCCCCAGGACCGAGTTTGGGAAACGCTGGTTTAGAGAGACTAGGACAGAAGCGGCACGCCCACCTGAGGTGTATTCATTAGTCGTACACCGCTGCATATTTTTAAAAAATTTTTTGGAAACCGTTTACTTTAGGAACCAAGCGGCGAGGGACCTACCTGAATTTGTCCAACAGAAACTCTCGTCTGCGTTGCAAAACTTTTTCCTTTTGGAGTAAACAGTTTCCATTGCAAAGTTTTGCAAGGGAATCCGACTAATGAAACACCCCTGGTGGTTCAATAGGCTACATCTTACATGTTGTTTGCCAATTAAGGTCCCCTAGGAAACATGGACCAAAACTATGGTTCCCACATTTTCACATGTTTTGACACATCTCTGTAGTCTGGATGTATTTTACTAGTTGTAGTTAAAATTGACATATTATAAATTAAGTATCTTTTTAGTTCAATAAACATGTGTCCTGTCCTCTCCAGAGATGGAAGAGGAAGCGAGACATCCCATTCCCTCATCTTTTCAGTTTCAATGGAAGTCAATGAACTAAGTAGACCAGACCAAGCTGCTGTCGCATTGGTGTCTATGGGAGAGCCACCCCCTTACTTAAACAGGAACTGACCATTTATTTCAATGGTAAACAACCTGAGTGAACTACCCGTATCTTCATGTATCCACCATCTTTGTCCTCCCTTCTTGTGCCTTCATCAAAGAGCTCTTCGTTCTATCTGTGCCTTCATTCAACGTTGCTAAGGAAGTCAAGCATCATGAGGTTACCTGAAATAGGTCAAAGCATATATTAAATTGAACTCAACATCTTCGACACAGACACAAGTTACCTGCTATATTTGGGCAACAGGATTAACACAGAGAGAATTTGGCAAAATACATTGTATGTTTCTGTAGTACGAGTAGGCTGGTATATAATTGTGTACAAGCCACCTAGCTAATAAAATATTGGAGCTAGCAGTCATTAGTTACATTTTAACCATAGCAATAGCTTAATTGAATGCCTACATAATTGGTGCCTAACTAAACCAACTAACGAGAAATGGTGGAGGCTACCAGAATGAAGACAGACATTTTTCGGAATAAACGTGTTGAGTGAAAAACTTAATTACATAGCTACTCCCTACCCGGTATCTCATTATGCCCCTATACAACTTTGTATGCGTTGTTTGCTGCAACCTTGTTATTTACGACGTTTTTGGAACAGATTCCTTTTGGAACGTTTCACAAATTCTACCAACCCTGCGTAGCACGCTTGACCGAAATGGTAGCAGAAGGTGAATGTTCAACTTTTGTTGCGTGCAAATCCATATGACGCTGCGACTATGTCCCATTTTGCATAATGACACCGTCGGTGTGATCGAGGCGTTCGCAGCATCCGGGTGAAGGTTAATCAGTCAAAGAAAGATGGCTGCCCCCTTGGAGTTGTACTGCTGGAAAGGTGATTGGGGCTTACCCTCTGTTGATACAGACTGTCTAACCGTTCTGGTAAGAAATACAATAGCTGATTACAATACGTAAATTATAGGGTCCACCGTTACTGTCGTCGCATAAATAATTTCCCTTCGACAATAAGGCAGCAGAGCGGGTGAGACTGAGGTGACCTAGCTAGCTAGCTAACGGTTAACTCCGCTTTGATGAATGAATGGAATGCACACTCATGTTAGCTAGCTAGCTAACTAACGTCACATCTTGTGTTACTGACAACTTGACATGCATTGAACCAACAAGCCCCGGCTGGTCAATATGGGAGTCACGTTCCCATTATGTTAGCTCAGCTGTAACATTTAGAGCAAATCCAGTAAAACATACTCTTATTATTTAGCCAGGTAAGTTCACTAGTTTAGATATGCAACCTTGTCAGGAAGCTCTGTCATTACAATTCTGGTTTATCAGCCAATTTCAGGTTCCTGGTTGCTTACTTTTGATACAAGTAAAGTGTGACACGACTAAAACGGCCTACGACTCAATATTGTGTTGAGAATTTCCAGTGCTGAATTTGATGACAGTTTGAACTAGCTAACGTTACATGTTTTGGTATTAGCTAAAGCTAAGGAATGAGTAATGGCCTAAATTGTCAAACGTTAAAAGCTTGCCATTCTGTTTTGCTAAACTGTCTTTGCTCTGACACCAATTTCATCATTTGCCCACTGAAAAAATAAAGTGGTAGGCCCAAAATAAAGTAGTAATTTATAGTAACTTTTTTATTCATAAAGTCCACTGCAATGTCCAGTCCACAATAAGCATTCATTTGTGAAGTGAAACATTTACATTATTTACAATGGTAATAACTTTCAGTTTAGATTAATTTACTACTTCTAACTAAACATACAATTCTCTGAGGTCATACACCCAAATATGTATGGACAGATTAAACACTAGGCTAAGCTATTTCATTACTTTAATTACCAGATGGTGTTTGAGATCATTGAAGGGGTTAGGCTAGTGTTTGCTTTGTATTCGGCATAGGGTAATTAATATGGAGGCTCATTCCTCGAGTGAACATCAGAGGGCTGTTAACATAGAGATCCTATTACATTATTATAATTCCTAATTCTATGGCAGACTTCATTTAACTAACACACCATTAATGCTGATGTCATTGTGAATGGTGGTGACTGGAAAGGGATCAGCTCTCACTTTAGCCCCCATTTGTTGGTGTTATAGGGAATTGTTTTGGACCCTGGCTGGCCTGTTATTACTTGTCTTTGTTTTCATTTACCCGGCATGGATTATTTCACTGTCCAGTGCAGCTGTCTAAACATCATGCAACCATCATCATCGCCACCACAACCCAACTAGCAGAGTTCTAAGAAACTCGAGAATAGCCAAGAAAGGGGAAGAAAACTTAAATAAGCACAAAAACTCTTCCCCCTGTATAATTTACAAAAAGTTGTTTCCTGTGGAAAGATGCCCCGTCACACCCCCCCCCCCCAACCCAATGTCAAAGGGTAAAAGTCCTTACTGGAGTTATCTTGATAACATGCCCCACCCCTACTTGATTGTCATGGCACCAGTGCATACACTATATATACAAAAGAATGTGGACCCCCCTTCAAATTAGTGGATTCGGCTATTTCAGCCACACCCATTGCTGACAGGTCTATAAAATCGAGCACACAGCCATGCAATCTCCATAGACAAACATTGGCAGTAGAATGGCCTTACTGAAGAGCTCAGTGACTTTCAACGTGGCATGGTCATAGGATGACACCTTTCCAACAAGTCAGTTCGTCAAATTTCTGCCCTGCTAGAGCTGCCCCAGTAACTGTAAGTGCTGTTATTGTGAAGTGGAAATGTCTAGGAGCAACAATGGCTCAGCCGCAAAGTGGTAGGCCACACAAGCTCACAGAACAGGCGAGTGCTGAAGCGCGTAGCGCGTAAAAATTCTGTCCCCGATTGCAACACTCACTACCGAGTTCCAAACTGCCTCTGGAAGCAACGTCCGCACAATAACTGTTTGTCTGGAGCTTTATGAAATGGGTTTCTATGGCCAAGCAGCGCACACAAGCCTAAAATCACCATGCGCAATGCCAAGCGTCGGCTGGAGTGGCGTAAAGCTCGCCGCCATTTGACTCTGGAGCAGTGGAAACGAGTTCTCTGGAGTGATGAATCACGCTTCACCATCTGGCGGTCTGACGGACAAATCTGGGTTTAGCGGATTCCAGGAGAACGCTATCTGCCCCAATGTATAGTGCCAACTGTGGAAGAACTTGACTGGCCTGCATAGAACCCTTACCTCAACCCCATCAAATACCTTTGGGATGAATTGGAACACCGTCTACGAGCAAGGCCTAATCGCCCAGCATCAGTGCCCGACCTCACTAATGCTCTTGTGGCTGAATGGAAGCAAGTCCCTGCAACAATGTTCCAACATCTGTTATAGCAGCAAAGATGGGGACCAGCTCCATATTAATGCCCATGATTTTTGAATAAGATGTTCGACGAGCAGGTGTCCACATACTTTTGGTCATGTAGTGTAAGTTCCAACAAAAGATTGTAGACATGATTGGGAGCCACAAGGAAATATCCTGCTGACCGACAAAGGCCTCTCTCAATTACTGTGGCTCCCTCCCTGGTCTGTATTTTTTTTTTGTCAAGCTTTCTCAACTTACATGATTTGCACTGCACAATACTACCAGGCTATTCCTTTAAAGCTCCAATGCAGTCTATACAGCACAGACCATAGACGACTACCTCATCTCGCTCCCCATCTCAGGCAGCTATGTTATTATCGACAGTAGTTCAAACCATGTTAATGAACAATGTTCATTCCGCAGCGTCTGACCTTAACGCTTCTTTCGTGTCCCTCGAGCCAGACACACTTCAGCTGGCAAACCCAAATAGCATTTATTTATTTTTTGCAGGAAAGGGGATTTAAAAGTGTCTGGCAAATCCCACAGTGGGAAGGAAACACTCCCATTTATTTTTCATGTGGCAGGGAAAAAGTTAATGGTTTTCATTCTTGTCTGCAACAAAGTGGGGTCTCCCATTACTAAACCCACACCCGAGGGGGATGAGGGTGGGGTTATGGTTTCTAACGCATGGTACAATGTCCTGAGCCCTCTCTATTATTATAACTACAGTCACACACAGAGGCCATGTGGGAGGGGTAAAGGTGATTTTCTTGTATACACATCCATCTGTCTGAGTACCAAGGTTCTGGTCTAACTGCTGTCTTCATTCTGAGATCTTGAAGTGGTCTAATAGCCATTTCACAAGCCGAGATGAACTGTTCTGTGCTGACCTGGTTACGCATAGGCTAGTTGCTGGAACCATGCTAGAAAGTACGATGTAGGGTCAAAGACAAATATCCAAGCCAGACCAGCACAGTTCGGGTCAGCACGATAGTGCCAAAAGGGTAGGCTATGATCATTGAGCTACTCAAAGAGAGATGAGAGCTCCATAGGCCCAAACAGTCTAAATTCAGACATTGGGGAATCTACTGTTTAGTTACTGTACTGACATGCTGAGAAAGTGACATGTGGACTACATCACACTCAGATTGAGGGAGGGTGGAATGTTCTGCTTAGCTGCTCTAAAGCTACACAGCAGCCACTGTGGGGTTGGAGGCCACTTGGCAGTGTTATACGATCTGCCATGACAAGGCAGACAGGGAATTATTTTTTCAGGCCACAGAATGAGCAACCTCATTCAGGTTTCACTTAAGATATTTTCCTAAGTCATCAGCCATTTTCTAAAGCTGTGTCAGCGTTGTCCTGCTCCAGTTCTTGTGTATGCAGTTGGAAGAAGGTTACCATGCTTTTTTCCCCTAGTGAACCCACACATACTAGGTTGGTTTAACTTAAAGTTGAGATAAATGGACAAATTTGGACTCATGCTCTGTCAGCATAATGCAAGTGATATGCCCTTAAGGGTTTCGGAGCGCTGTAAGCTATACCTCGTAAAGGCGGGATAATCCTGGATATTCTTGCCTTTTGAGTTTTCCTAATAAGATCTCTCGGTCTTTGAAGGAGCCGTTGGGTTGTTTTAACACTCACTGACTTTTCAAGAAGGTAATGAGTGATATAATCTGGTATTTTGGCAGGAAAAGAGTCATGCACCTCTCTTCAGTTCCAAAGACATGTAATTTCCTTCAGTGCGATCTGGAAGATGTGGTGGTCTTCTTGCTTGATTAGTTTCTCTGTGGTGAAAGAGGCATCTCGCTGTCATTAAGTAGAAGGCACCAAAGTAATCCATAAGACTCCACTATTGTGGTCCTGTATGTAAAATGTATGCACGCATTACTGTAAGTTGCTTTGGATAAAAGCGTCTGCTAAATGGCATTTATTATATATTATATGGTGTCATGAAACCTTTATTGGAAACTGTTTGCTCATCTGTTTCTCTATCTTTCTTTCTCTCAGGCCTATGCCAAGTTTGCTGGTGCTCCACTCAAAGTCCACAAGATCACCAACCCCTGGAGAAGCCCCACAGGTAATTCCAACCCAGGGCACTGCTATGTTCTGTTCTGACATAGGTACTCACTATTGATGGGGGGAAAAAAACATTGTTGTATAATTTTTTTGCTAGGTAGCTTGGCTAGCGCTAGTCGCCAGTACCTGCGCCAAAACTCCGGTATTTTTAATCCTTTTCAGCTTGTTCTCCATCTTCTTTTTAAATAGTGAGCCAACAAGTTTTCAGTGCTTTTATTTCCAAGACTGATCAAAAGTAATTTTCTTGTGCTATCTTGTCTCTTTGCAGCAGACATACACTGAGTGTACAAAACATTAGGAACACCTGCTCTTTCCATGACAGACTGACCAGGTGATTCTATGATCCCTTATTGATGTCACTTGTTAAGTCCACTTCAATCAGTCTAGATCAGGGGTGTCAAACTCATTTTAGCTCAGGGGCCACATGGAGGAAAATCTATTCCCAAGTGGGCCGGACCGGAAAAATCATGGTATATATAACTTAAAACAACAACTTCAGATTGTTTTCTTTGTTTTAATACGATCAACATACAACATAAAGCTGGAACATGAGGACAGTGTGTCCAAAATAGTACAAGCACAACATCACTATTAATCATAAAACACGTCAAGTTTATTTGAAAATTCTAAAGAAAAAGAACACACAAACACACAATGCCTCAGTGATTAACAGAACTGGGCGGCAGGTAGCTTAGTGGGTAAGAGCGTTGTGCCAGTAACCGAAAGGTCGCTGGTTCTTGTCGATGTGCCCTTGAGCAAGGCACTTAACCCTAATTGCTCCTGTAAGTCGCTCTGGATAAGAGCGTCTGCTAAATGACTAAAATGTAAATGTAAATGTAAACTGTTTCACAGATCACAGAACTATATCAGGGTGTCATTTCTCAGGCAGAAATGTAGATAAAAATAATGAAATCATGTTCCCCAAACAAGTGCAAGAACCACAGAGTCAAGAATAGGTTAAATATACAAATAAAATAAAAACAATTAAAAACAATAGCACATCAACATAAAAACATATAAACATAAAGCTGGAGCCTGAGGACAGTGTCCAAAAGTACAACATCACTATTAATCATAAAACACCTCAAGTTATTTGAAAGTTCTGAGGACAAAGAACACACAAACACACAATGCCTCAGTGATTCACAGAAGTATATCACAGATCACAGAACTATATCAGGGTGTCATTTCTCAGGCAGAAATGTAGATAAAAAGAATGAAATCCTGTTCCCCAAACAAGTGCAAGAACCACAGAGTCAAGAATAGGTTAAATATACAAATAAAATCAATTAAAAACAATAGCACATCAACATAAAAACATAAACATAAATCTGAAAGCGTTGCTCAAACTCCCGTAACAGTCCCGTTATTTTATCTTTGAACCGCTTCATGTCTGCCACATGTTGGGTCGCGCACACATTTTTCAAACAGGGGAAGTGAGCTGCATCTCCACCGGCAAGTTGCGTCTCCCACAATGACAGCTTCAACTTGAAAGAACGTATGCTGTCATAATACTGCGTGACAACTTTGTTGCGCCGTTGCAGCTGTTTGTTCAAGTTATTCAGGTGCTCTGTAACATCCACCATAAATGCAAGGTCCTGCATCCATTCTGCGGAATGAAATTCTAACACTGGTTTGCCCTTTTCTTCCATGAACTGTTCAATTTCTTCTCGTAAATCAAAGAAACGCCTCAGCACAGCACCTCGGCTTAACCATCTTACCTCAGTGTGGTATGGCAGGCCATAGATGTGGTCTTTCTCTCTGAGAAGGCTGTCAAACTGACGGTGATTCAGGCTTCTGGATCGGATGAAATTAACAGTTTGGATGACCACCTTCATGACGTTATCCATCTTTAATGACTTGCAACACAAAGCCTCCTGGTGCAAAATACAGTGAAAAGTCAAAAAATCACGTCCTCCATTTGCAGATTGCACTTTCTCTCTGAACTTTGTCACAACGCCTGCTTTTTTCCCGATCATTGAGGGCGCACCATCTGTAGCCAGGCTGACAGCGCGGGACCAGTCCACTCCGACCCTGTCCAGCGCGCCGACGAGTGCGGTAAAAATATCAGCTGCTGTCGTTGTATCTGTCATCGGCACCAACTCCACGAACTCCTCGGTGACGGTCAATGTGTCATCAACTCCGCGGATGAAAATGGCCAGTTGTGCAACATCTGTAATGTCCGTGCTTTCATCAATTGCAACCCGAAAACGCAATAAATGACTTTACTTTTTGCTTCAACTGGCTGTCCAAATCCACTGAAAGATCGGAAATCCTGTCTGCAACTGTGTTTCTTGTCAGGCTGATATTTGCAAAAGCCTGCCGCTTTTCAGGGCACACAATCTCCGCTGCCTTCATCATGCATGTTTTTACAAATTCACCCTCACTAAATGGTTTTGAAGCCACTGCGATTTCATTAGCAATGAGGTAGCTAGCTTTCACTGCAGCGTCACTGATGTCTCGGCTGTGAGTAAACACAGACTGCTGTTTCTTCAGACCCGCCAACAGTTCATTCACCTTCTCTCATCTCCGCTGTCCTTGAAAGTTGTCATATTTGTCGGCATGAAGACTCACATAGTGGCGACAAAGGTTATATTCTTTCAGCACTGCAACATGCTCTGAACACACCAAACATACAGCTTTCCCATTCAATTCCGTGAATAAATAGGATGACCATTTTTCTTGGAACACTCTGCACTCTGCGTCCACTTTTCTCTTTTTTGACAGAGACATATTGGGGCAATGAGGGTGCCAAAGCACATAATGTTAAAAGTAGAAGCTGTAATAAATATCGCGGGCAAAACAAAGTAGTTCATTGGCTGCATGTGCTTGACCTACTTGCTCTGCCCCGGTATAAACAGTTTGCTTGCTTAACACAATTGCTATTGCGCCATCCAGTGGACGCAATTGGAACAGCAGTTTATTTTATTGAAAAATTGCAGCGCATTTTTATACTTTACAAAAAAAAAATATATATATATTTTTTTTTTTTCAAAATCATCTCGCGGGCCGGATTAAACCCGTTTGCGGGCCTGATCCGGCCCGCGGGCCGTACGTTTGACACCCCTGGTCTAGATGAAGGGGAAGAGACAGGTTAAAGAAGGATTTTTAAGCCTTGAGACAATTGAGACGTGGATTGTAGCTCAGTTGGTAGAGCATGGTGTTTGCAACGCCAGGGTTGTGGGTTCGATAAAATAATGTATGCGCTGTAAGTCGCTCTGGATAAGAGCGTCTGCTAAATGACTAAAATGTAAATGTGTATGTGTGCCATTCAGAGGGTGAATGGGAAAGACAAAATATTTAAGTGCCTTTGAACGGGGTGTGGTAGTAAGTGCCAGGCACACCAGTTTTAGTGTGTCAATAACTGCAATGCTGCTGTTTTTCACGCTTTCGTTTCCCATGTGTATCAAGAATGGTCCACCACCCAAAGGACTCCAGCCAACTTGACACAACTGTGGGAAGTATTGGATTCAACATGGGCCAGCATCCCTGTGGAACGCTTTCGACACCTTGTAGAGTTCATGCCCTGACGAATTGAGGCTGTTCTGAGGGCAAAAGGGGATGCAACTCCCCCCCCCCCCCCCCCCCCCCCCCCCTACACACACAGCGGAGTCGCTCACCACCTTCCGGAGACATTTGAAACCCCACCTCTTTAAGGAATACCTGGGATAGGATAAAGTAATCCTTCTACCCCCCCCCCCCCCCCCAAAAAAAAATATAAATAATAATAATTGTAAAGTGGTTATCCCACTGGCTATAGGGTGAATGCATCAATTTGTGAGTCGCTCTGGACTAGAGCGTCTGCTAAATGACGTAAATGTGCCCTTGAGCAAGGCACTTAACCCTAATTGCTCCTGTAAGTCGCTCTGGATAAGAGCGTCTGCTAAATGACTAAAATGTAGATATGTAAAAATTATGAAGGTGTTCCTAATGTTTTGTACGCTCAGTGTATAATGTGCAATATGTTTGGAACATCAAATCGCAATCGAATCACAATACATATCAAATTGGGAGAATTGCAATTCATATCTAATCGGCACCTAATTGTCGTGATAATATCGTATTGAGGTCCCTGGCAATTCCCAGCCCTAGTACTCACCATGCCTTTTTGGGAATGAACTTGCCCTCGGTGAACCCGATTTGACACTCTTCCGTGTAAAGGGGAAGAAGAAGAAGAAGAAGAGGAAATTCCCCCCTTAGTAAAGGGTCAAAGGTCATACGGTCACAGGGTCACACATTACCTGACTCTCTGAGGAGAACATAGCCTTACTTTACCGTCTGCGTTCACTCACCCTTAGGAACAAAGAGAGCGATGGTTTGATATATGAGGACAGGAAGCTCTCACTTTCCCCCTCTTCTCACTGGAGTAGAACAGGGGTCACAGGTCGTGGGTTAACAGTCAAAAGGTCAGCGAGCACCTGACGTTATTATATCTCCCAGTACCACCACCTTTGTGTGCCAGCCCATTTTTGCTACACCCTCCTGTCTTCTTCACACCACAGGGGGGTTCAGACAACTCTGCGGTCGTTATGGTTACGGTCCGGATTGTTGTTCTTTGCAATCCCACTGTGCATCTCAGAAGATTGCTATATCATATTAATGTGGTTCCTGAGATGTTAAACACTTTTCCAGACGTTGTGAGTGAGGTCTGGTAATCTGCGCAGCACGATTGCAATAAAGACGACCTTGAAAGCGCCCTTTAGGCTGACTGTTCTGCTCCCTCGTTTCAGGTACGTTGCCGTCACTGAAGACCACGGAGGAAAGTACTGGTAGTCTTTCCAAACCCAGTAATATCATCATTCACCTTAGAAAACAGGTGAGTCCTGTTCCCACATCTCTTCCCTTTCCCACAGGGGAGATTAATAGTAAACAGGTGAAAGACAACCTCCCCCTCCACCCCCCCATCCTTTTTGACAGGGAACATGTGGGTAACCATGCTCTGCCAAATTATGAGCTGTTCTATAGGAAACAGATGTGTGTTAATGTAACACTAAATGGTTGAGACATTCTTAGTAACAAACAGGTGAGTGACATCCGGAGCCATTTGTAGAGATCGCCATAGTCAGGAACTGATGTCCAATGTGTACTGCTTTTGGCCCCAAGGGATATTCCCTTGCTTATACATTCTGGGCATGCAGAATCAAGGCACAAATTAGTTTCACAAGGGTTTTCTTGAGCTCCAGTGACCACATGGTAATCTCTACAAGACATAATAATAATATGCCACTTAGCAGACGCTTTTATCCAAAGCGACTTACAGTCATGCGTGCATACATTTTTGTGTATGGGTGGTCCCGGGGATCGAACCCACTACCCTGGCGTTACAAGCGCCGTGCTCTACCAGCTGAGCTACGGAGGACCACATCTACACTACATCCACATCTACACTACTGGTCAAAAGTTGTAGAACACCTACTCATTGAAGGGTTTTTATTTATTTTTACTATTTTCTACATTGTAGAATAATAGTGAAGACATCAAAATTATGAAATAACACATATGGAATTATATAGTAACCAAAAAAGTGTTAAACAAATCAAAATATATTTTATATTTGAGATTCCTCAAAAAGCCACCCTTTGCGTTGATGACAGCTTTACACACTCTTGGCATTCTCTCAACCAGCTTCACCTGGAATGCTTTTCCAACAGTCTTGAAGGAGTTCCCACATATGCTGAGCACTTGTTGGCTGCTTTTCCTTCACTCTGCGGTCCGACTCATCCCAAACCATCTCAATTTGGTTGACGTTGGGGGATTGTGGAGGCCAGGTCATCTGATGCAGCACTCCATCACTCTCCTTCTTGGTAAAATAGCCCTTACACAGCCTGGAGGTGTGTTGGGTCATTGTCCTGTTGATAAACAAATGATAGTCCCACTAAGCCCAAACCAGATGGGATGGAGTATCGCTGCAGAATGCTGTGGTAGCCATGCTGGTTAAGTGTGCCTTGGATTCGAAATAAATCACAGACAATGTCACCAGCAAAGCACCCCCACACCATAACACCTCCTCCTCCATGCTTTACGGTGGGAAATACACATGCAGAGATCATCCATTCACCCACACCGTGTCTCACAAAGACACGGCGGTTGGAACCAAAAATCTCAAATTTGGACTCCACACCAAAGGACACATTTCCACCGGTCTAATGTCCATTGCTCATGTTTCTTGGCCCAAGCAAGTCTCTTCTTATTATTGGTGTCCTTTAGTAATGGTTTAGCAATTTACTCATGAAGGCCTGATTCACACAGTCTCCTCTGAACAGTTGATGTTGAGATGTGTATGTTACTTGAACTCTGTGAAGCATTTATTTGGGCTGCAATTTCTGAGGCTGGTAATTCTAATGAACTTATCCTCTGCAGCAGAGGTAACTCTGGGTCTTCCATTCCAGTGGCGTTCCTCATGAGAGCCAGTTTCATCATAGCACTTGATGGTTTTTCCAACTGCACTTGAAGAAACTTTCAAAGTTCTTGACATTTTCTGGATTGACTGACCTTCATGTCTTAAAGTAATTTTGGACTGTTGTTTCTCTTTGCTTATTTGAGCTGTTCTTGCCATAATATGGACTTGGTCTTTTACCAAATAGGGCTATCTTCTGTATACCCCCGCCTACCTTGTCACAACACAACTGATTGGCTCAAACGCATTAAGAATGAAAGAAATTCCACAAATTAACTTTTTAAGAAGGCACACCTGTTAATTGATATGCATTCCAGGTGACTACCTCATGAAGCTGGTTGAGAGAATGCCAAGAGTGTGCAAAGCTGTCATCAAGGCAAAGGGTGGCTATTTGAAGAATCTCAAATATAACATCTATTTTGATTTGGTTAACAGTTCTTTGGTTACTACATGGTTCCGTATGAGTTATTTCATAGTTTTGATGTCTTCACTATTATTCTACAATGTAGAAAATAGTAAAAATAAAGAAAAACCCTTGAATGAGTAGGTGTTCTAAAACATTTGACCGGTAGTGTATAGTTGGGTTGGGCCCTAGTTATTTAGTTGGTGCGTTCACGTTAAATCATCAGTACTCAAAGAGGAGGTCCACACTCTCCGATTTTAAAGGTTACGTTAAACAACTTTTTATTTTATATAACCATTCAACCAACCATATTAAGAAGGATGGTTAAGAAAGGGACACTTTTGCATCAGAGAGAGGGGTCTTTCACTTCTGCCAAACTGGTACAACTGGTATGCAAAAGGAAGACAGTAGGCAGAACTTGAGGCCCTTACATATATTGGTGTCCAGGGACAGTGAATCTTGGGGTAGAGGTTAACTGGTTATAAGTTGTTGCATTGACTTTTATAGGTAGAAAGTCTTGGCATAGTGATTCACGGCTTAATTTAGTGTTTTAGGCTGGGTTATGAGCCTCGGGTGTACAAATTGTAGACCATAAACCCTGCACAGATGGGAGGGGTCTCTCATAAAGTCACCAGAGGGGTATACTACAAATCAGGATTAATAAATTAGCCAGCTAACTTGCCTTAATATTCTGAAATAACCTTTTAAGATTTGGAAAGATAAGATTGAAATGGACATGGTCTAATTGACTCAACAACAAAAAACACATCTAAGTTCAGCTTTCAGAAATCAATCTATAGTTGTTTCTGGTTGTTTATCAAATTAGCTCATTGATCCTACTTTGTCGTATACCCCTCATGTTGCGCAACCATATTGCTTCCACCTTACAGATTGAGGGGTTAGGGCCAATGGCGACAGCTAGTTTTATTGGGGTCCGACACATAACAAAAAATACATTACAGACAAAATACTTTACAATTTACGTACATTTAAAAACATTGACATGTAGTGTGTATGTGTGTTTGCATCAGTTACACATACGTGTCAGCACATACACACAACAAGTAGGTAACATGGGGGAGAGGCGTTGTGCCAAGAGGTGTTGCTTTATTTGTTTTTTTTAAACCAGGTTTGCTGTTCACCTGCACTATGAGATAGAAGGGATCATGGCTATCATGGCTCTGTATAATACTATCCATGCTATCATGGCTCTGTATAATACTGTATGTTTCCTTGAATTTTGTCAGTGCTGTGTGTAAATTGACTATGCAAACAATTAATGTTTCTTATAAAAACAAGAAGCGATGCAATCAGTATTTCCTCAACTATTAGCCGAGAGAGACTGTCATGCATATTATTGATATTAGCCCTCTGATTACAATGAAGAGCAAAATGTGCCGCTCTGTTCTGGGCCAGCTGCAGCTTAACTAGGTCCTTCTTTGCAGTAATCAAGATAAGATACAACTAGAGCCTGCAGTACTTGCTTTGTGGAGTGTGGTGTCAAAAAGCAGAGCATCTCTTTATCACAGACATACCTCTCCCCATCTTTACAACCGTTGAATCAATATGTTTTGACCATGACAGTTTACAATCTATTCAGCTGAGGTCTACAACTTAAGTAATGATTTATACAATTCTTAGTTTTAGAGATGTTCAGGACCAGTTTATTACCGGCCACCCATTATAAAACTGACTGCAACTCTTTGTTTAGGGTTGACGTGATTTCACTAGCTGTGGTTGAATTATCAGCATACATGGACACACAGGCTTTGTTTAATGCCAGTGACAGGTCATTGGTAAAAATTGAAAAGAGTAGAGGGCCAAGAGAACTGCCCTGCGATACATAACACTTTACATACATTTACATTTTAGTCATTTAGCAGACGCTCTTATCCAGAGCGACTTACAGTTAGTGAGTGCATACATTTTCATACTGGCACTAAACACCTGATTCCACTCAGACCCAGTTACAATGGCTTGATAATGAGTTGATTATTTGAATCAGGTGTGTAGTGTTAGGGGAAAAAACGAAAATGGGTCCCCAGGACTAGGATTAAGAAATACTGGGTTAAGGTTGCAACAATATAATGGTAGAGAAGGTGCTGTGGTCCCATTTACATTAAATACTGTATTTAACAATGCACTTTCAATCAATCTCAAGTTAGTCATCATGTTTAACATTTGTTTAACATTTGGGAAGCTTCTATTAAAGAAAACCCTCTGTGTTCTGTTAGATAGATGGCTCTAAATCCACGGTATGGCAGAGGTTGAAAAGCCATAACACATACGTTTTTTCAACAGGTTATTGTCAATAATATCAATGGCTGCACTGAAATCTAACAGTACAGCTCCCACAATCTGCTTATTCATTTCTTCCAACCAATCATCAGACATTTGTGTCAGTGCAGTACATGTTGGAGTGCCCTTCTCTATAAGCATGCTGTAAGTCTGTTGTTAATTTGTTTACTGAGAAATACAGTGAGCTGAAATTGAAATTATACAATGACTGAGGTTAAATTGCAGACTGTCAGCTTTAATTTGAGGGTATTTTTTTATCCATATCTTCTGAACCACTTAGAAATTACATCACTTCTTTCTACATAGTAGTCCCCCCCCCCCCCATTTTACGGGACCAAAAGTATTGGTACAAATTCACTTATGTGTATTCAAGTAGTCAAAAGTTTAGGATTTGGTCCCATATTCCTAGCACGCAATGATTACATCAAGCTTGTGACTCTACATACTTGTTGAATGCATTTGCTGTTTGTTTTGGTTGTGTTTCAAATTATTTTGTGCCCAATAGAAATGAATGGTAAATAATGTATTGTGTCATTTTGGAGTCACTTTTATTGTAAAGAAGAATAGAATATGTTTCTAAACACTTCTATATGAATGTGGATGCTAACATGATTACGGCTAGTGAGAAAGTTACAGAACTTTCATAGTAGCATCCACATTGCCAAGAGTGTGCAAAGCTGTCATCAAGGCTAAGGGTGGCTACTTAGAAGAATCTCAAATATAAAATGTTTTGATTTATTTAATACTTTTTTGGTTACTACATGATTCCATATGTGTTATTTCATAGTTTTGATGTCTTCACTATTATTCTACAATGTAGAAAATAGTAAAAATAAAGAAACCCTTGAATGAGTAGGTGTCCAAACTGTGTGTGTGTGTGTGTGTGTGTGTGTATATGTATGTATGTATGTATGTATGTATGTATGTATGTATGTATGTATGTATGTACAGTGCTATGAAAAAGTATTTGCCCCCTTTCTAATGTTCTCTACTTTTGCATATTTGTGATGCTGAATGTTATCAGATCTTCAACCAAAACCTAACATTAGATAAAGGGAAGCCCACTCTTCCATGCAGAACTGCATCTGGTCTGATGAAACAAAAATAGAACTGTTTGCCCATAATGACCATCGTTATGTTTGGAGGAAAAAGGGGGAACTTGCAAGCCGAAGAACACCATCCCAACCGTGAAGCACGGGGGTTGCAGCATCATGCTGTGGGGGTGCTTTGCTGCAGGAGGGACTGGTGCACTTCACAAAGTAGATAGCATCATGAGGAAGGAAAATTATGTGGATATATTGAAGCAACATCTCAAGACATCAGTCAGGAAGTTAAAGATTGGTCGCAAATGGGTCTTCCAAATGGACAATGACCCCAAGCATACTTCCAAAGTTGTGGCAAAATGGCTTAAGGACAACAAAGTCAAGGTATTGGAGTGGCCATCACAAAGCCCTGACCTCAATCCTATAGAACATTTGTGGGCAGTACTGAAAAAGCGTGTGCGAGCAAGGAGGCCTACAAACCTGACTCATTACACCAGCTCTGTCAGGAGGAATGGTCCAAAATTCACCCAACTTATTGTGGGAAGCTTGTGGAAGGCTACCCGAAACGTTTGACCTAAGTTAAACAATTTAAAGACAATGCTACCAAATACTAATTGAGTGTATGTAAACTTCTGACCCACTGGGAATGTGATGAAAGAAGCAAAAGCTGAAATAATATTATTCTGACATTTCACATTCTTAAAATAAAGTGGTGATCCTAACTGACCTAAGACAGGGAGTTTTTACTAGGTTTAAATGTTAGGAATTGTGAAAAACTGAGTTTAAATGTATTTGGCTAAGGTGTATGTAAACTTCCGACTTCAACTGAACTACATACATACAGGGGCGCAGCCATGGGAGGGCATTGGCCCACCCACTTAGGAGCCAGGCCCACCCACTGGGAAGCCAGGCCCAGCCAATTAGATGTTTTTTTCCAGTATTTTCCAGTCAGTATTCCAATTGCAAATGCTCAATAACAGGGATGTAAACAAATTTGTGCACAAAATTTGAGAGAAATAAGCATTTTGTGCGTATGAAACATTTCTGGGATCTTTTATTTTAGCTCATGAAACATGGGACCAACACTTAACATGTTGCGTATTTTTGTTCAGTATAGATTACTCTTTTTGCTTTGTAAAGGCCTTTTTCACTGGAACTTTTGCTATGCCTGCCTTTTTTCCTGGTGAATTCTATTGACTCTTTTGTAAGGGGGACCATGCATCCATACTCTCATCTAGGACCTGATATCCCAATATCCAAACTAAGTGGCTGACTGTCCTGTCTTTCAGAAATACAACGCTGACTATGACCTCTCAGCCAAGGAAGGGGCAGACACTCTGGCCTTTGTGTCACTACTGGAGGAGAAACTGCTGCCCGCATTGGTGAGATAACTTCTGCATGTGGAGAGGGCGAGGGAGGGCGGGAGGAAAGAGATGACAGTTAGATTGTTTTTCTCTGTTCACATACCATGTAGAACAGAGAAACAGAAAGGGAAAGTGAGAAGCGAAAGAGGGGGTGAAGGGTGGATATGGTTTAGCAGATCAGGGTAAAGCAGGGGCATGGAGTCAACACACAAATAACCATCCCCACATCTTAACATTCCCATTATCGCATTTCTGCGGTGGTTGATGATGATAAAAAATATCAACGTCTGTGTCAGGGGGAGGAGTCGGAGGAGGTACCCCTGTGGAATCAGGAATGCTTTCAAGTCATTGAAAAGGGAAAATCAATTCTGTCTGACCCACTCCTAATAAAAATCACCTTTTTAAATGCTTTCGCCTGGCATGACATTGAATGGGCAAAGTTAAATGCCAGGTTCTGTCTTGGTAATGCAATTGCTCTCTTAATATTACAAGAAAAGTAAGCTATTGTGAAATGCTTTAGAACGGTGAAATATTTATTTCTACTCAGCTTAAGGTTGAAGGGAAATCAGGCATTCATCGTCAAAGCGCTTGAAGCTTAATTGAGCATTGAATAGCAGCGATAGTACCCAGCTCTATGGTAATGTTCCAATTTTCATTCTAGCATACCACTTAGTGTGCAGCAACGTATCAGACATGCATTCTTAGTAGTAGGCTAGTATGGACATTGGAACATGGCTCAGGGACAGTGATGGAGAAAGACAGGCTTGCCTGTGTTTTCTGTTGGGGCCCTGTGGAGAATAATCCTAAATTTATCGTGCCCAACCTGTGCTGCATTTCCTGTATAAAAGTGTCTGGCTTCCTGTGTAAAAAAAAAAAAAAAAAGGTGATAATGAAACAGTCGACAGACTTTGTGTCTCTGGAGATGCGTCTGGAAACAAGTGGAAGAGTCTCAAGTACCTTTGACGATCCCTGGGGTGACCCCTTGCATCTGCACTGAGCCCCTGGGAATAGAGAAGCAGTGTGGCCTAACTATTAGTGAAATGGGACCCCAAGATGGTCAGGTTAAATACTGTTGTGCCCCTGGTTAAATCGCATGCATTATGTCATCAAACATCCAGATTTCAAAATTGGAGTCCTAGCCTAGCCATTGAAGTTATTTTCTACAAAAGGATCAACTGTTTCCCATATTGGAAAGTCAGGGTGGTCCTGTCCTCTTAATTCTATCTGGTATTGGGAGTTGACCTTTAGATAACCTATGGTGTTGACAGGGTTGGAACTACTGTGGAACAGGCACGTTTGTCCACCTTGAAAAAGTCACAGGTGTGTTTTGAAAAAAGGTGCATTTGATCTTCGTTGTTGTGTGTTGGATCTATAAAGTGCCTTTGATCATCATTTATTGTATGTAGTTGCTCTAGCAGTACTGTGTGTCGCAATCTATGGCACCTGCCTCTTCTATTCCCCTCCATCCATTTACCTTCAGAAAGTATTCATACCTCTTGACTTATTCCACATTTTGTTGTGTTACAGCCTGAATTCAAAATTGATTAAATATATTTTTCTACACACAATAACCCATAATGACAGTGAAAACATGTTTTTAGAAATGTTTGCGCATTTATTGAAAATGAAATACAGAAAGACACTACATGACCAAAAGTATGTGGACACCTGCTCATTGAACAACTAATTCCAAAGTCATGGGCATTAATATGGAGTTGGTTCCCCCTTTGCTGCTATAACAGCCTCCACTCTTTTGGGAAGGCTTTCCACTAGATGTTGGAACATTGCTGCGGGGACTTGCTTCCATTCAGCCACGAACATTAGTGGGGTCGTCACTGATGTTGGGTGATTAGGCCTGGCTTACAGTCAACGATCCAATTCATCTCAAAGGTGTTCGATGAGGTTGAGGTCAGGGCTCTGTGCAGGCCAGTCAAGTTCTTCCACACCGATCTCGACAAACCATTTCTGTATGGCCGTCGCTTTGTGCATGGGGGCATTGTCATACTGTAACAGGAAAGGGCCTTCCCCGAACTGTTGCCACAAAGTTGGAAGCACAGAATCGTCTAGAATGTCATTGTATGCTGTAGCGTTAAAATGTCCCTTCACTGGAACTAAGGAGCCTAGCCCGAACCATGAAAAACAGCCCCAGACCATTTATTCCACCTCCACTAAACTTTACAGTTGGCACTATGCATTCGGGCAGGTAGTGTTCTCCTGGCATCTGCCAATGCCAGATTCGTCCGTCGGACTGCCAGAAGGTGAAGCGTGATTCATTACTCCAGAGATTGCATTTCCGCTGCTTGGCGGCAAGCTTTACACCACTCCAGCCGACGCTAGGCTTTGCACATGGTCATCCTAGGCTTGTGTGCGGTAGCTCGGCCATGGAAACACATTTCATGAAGCTCCTGACAAACAGTTATTGTGCTGATGTTGCTTCCATAGGCAGTTTGGCACTCGGTAGTGAGTGTTGCAACCGAGGACAGACAATTTTTATGCGCTACGCGCTTCAGCACTCGCCGGTCCTGTTCTGTGAGCTTGTGTGGCCTACCACTTCGCGGCTGAGCTGTTGTTGCTCCTAGTCGTTTCCACTTCACAATAACAACACTTACAGTTGAGCGGGGCAGCTTTAGCAGGGCAGAAATCTGACAAAGTGATTTGTTGGAAAGGTGGCATGAAATTACGGTGCCACATTTAAAGTCACTGAGCTCTTCAGTAAGGCCATTCTACAGCCAGTGTTTGTCTATGGAGATTGCATGGCTGCCTGTCAGCAACGGGTGTGGCTGAAATAGCAGAATCCACTAATTTGAAGGGGTGTCCACATACTTTTGTATATACAGTGCTTTCGGAAAGTATTGACCCCTTCACTTTTTCCACATTTTATGTTACAGCCTTATTCTAAAATTGATTAAATCAGGTTTTTTCCTCATGAATCTACACACAATACCCGATAATGACAAAGCAAAAACAGGTTTTTAGAAATTTTGCAAATTAAAACTGATATCACATTTTCATAAGTATTCAGACCTTTACTCAGTACTTTGTTGAAGCACCTTTGGCAGCGATTACAGCCTCAAGTCTTCTTGGGTAGGACGCTACAAGCTTGGCACACCTGTATTTGGGGAGTTTCTCCCATTTTTCTCTGCAGATCCTCTCAAGCTCTGTCAGGTTGGATGGGGAGCGTCGCTGCACAGCTATTCTCAGGTCTCTCCAGAAATGTTTGTTTGGGCTAAAGTCCGGAATCTGGCTGGGCCACTCAAGGACATTGAGATTTGTCCCGAAGCCAATCCTGTTTTGTCTTGGCTGTGTGCTTATCGGTTTTTGTCCTGTTGGAAGGTGAACCTTCGCCCTAGTCTGAGGTCCTGAGCACTCTGGAGCAGGTTTTCATCAAGGATCTCTCTCTACTTTGCTCCGTTCATCTTTCCCCCGATCCTGACTAGTCTCCCAGTCCCTGCTGCTGAAAAACATCCCCACAGCATGATGCTGCCGCCGCCATGCTTCACCGTAGGGATGGTGCCAGGTTTCCTCCAGATGTGACACTTGGCATTCAGGCCAAAGAGTTCAATCTTGGTTCCAGTGAATCTTGTTTCTCATGGTCTGAGAGTCCTTTAGGTGCCTTTTGGCAAACTCCAAGCGGGCTGTCGTGCCTTTTACTGAGGAGCGGCTTCCGTCTGGCCACGCTACCATAAAGGCTTGATTGGTGGAGTGCTGCAGAGATGGTTCTCCCATCTCTACAGAGGAACTCTGGAGCTCTGTCAGAGTGACCATCGGGTTCTTGGTCACCTCCCTGACCAAGGCCCTTCTCCCCCGATTGCTCAGTTTGGCCGGGCTGCTAGCTCTAGGAAGGTGGTTCCAAACTTCTTCCATTTAAGAATGATGGCCACTGTGTTCTTGGGGACCTTCAATGCTAGAGACATTTTTGGTACCCTTCCCCAGATCTGTGCCTCGACACATTCCTGTCTTGGAGCTCTACGGACAGTTTCTTCGACCTCTTGGCTTGGTTTTTGCTCTGACATGCACTGTCAACTGTGGGACGTCATCTAGACAGTTGTGTGCCTTTCCAAATAATGTCCAATGAATTGAATTTACCACAGGTGGACTCCAAGTTGTAGACACATCAAGGATGATCAATGGAAACAGGATGAACCTGAGCTCAATTTTGAGTCTAATAGCAAAGGGTCTGAATACTTATTTAAGGTATTTCTGTTTTTTATTTTTAATAAATTTGCAAACATTTCTAAAAATATTTTTTTGCTCTTTCATTATGGGGTATTGTGTGTAGATAGTTTTTTTCCCCCCTCATCAATCTCATCCGGTTTAGAATAAGGCAGTAACGTACCACCATGTGGGAAAAAAGTCAAGGGGTCTGAATACTGAGTCAATAGATGTTAGAATCACCTTTGGCAGTGATTTAAAGCTGTGAGTCTTTCTGGGTATGTCTCTAAGAGCTTTGCACACCTGAATGGTCAACATTTGCCCATTTTTATTATTTTCCAAATTATTTTATCGAATTGGTTGTTGATCATTGCTAGACAACCATTTAAGTCTTGCCAAAGATTTAAGCAGATTTATGTCAAAACTGTAACTTGACCACTCACTGTCTTCTTGGTAGGCAACTCCAGTGTAGATTTGACCTTGTGTTTTAGGTTATTGTCCTGCTGAAAGGTGAATTCGTCTCCAGGTGTCTGGTGGAAAGCAGACTGAACCAGGTTGTACTCTAGGATTTTGTCTGTGCTTAGCTCCATTCCGTTTCTTTTTTTATCCTGAAAAACCAGTCCTTAATGATTACAAGCATCACCATAACATGATGCAGCCATCACTAAGCTTGAAAATATGGAAAGTGGTGCTCAGTAATGTGTTGTCTTGGATTTGCCCCAAACATAACACTGATACGCAAAACGATGCCGGATTCAAAACTTAGAATATTTCAATTTAAATTATTATACAAAATTCTTGCTACCAATAGAATGTTATTTATATGGGGATTCCCAGCTCTGCAGATTTTGCTGCGAAGAGACAATCATTAGATAATTTGTTTTGGTACTGTCCATTTGTAGCTTGTTTTTGGTCACAGTTCCAGGAATGGCTGAAGGATTGCAATATTTACCTGGAGCTAACCCTGCAGATAGCACTACTGGGTGATCTGAAAAGTCATAGTCAATCGATCAATAATATAATAATACTTTTAGCCAAAATGTTTATTTTCAATTTACAATATGTAGAAACAATAAGAATAGAAGGGTTCAGAACTTTTGTGAAACATCACAGTACAGTTGAAAAATATGGCAAATAGAAATCCAATATGGATGGTGTTGAGAGATAGATGGGAGGTGTTGAATGGAGCTGAAGGATGGGACTAATAACAACAAACAATAACAAGATAACTAATGCAAAGCATACTGTGTCCATAATAAGTACAGTGAGGGGGAAAAAGTATTTGATCCCCTGCTGGTTTTGTATGTTTGCCCACTGACAAAGACATGATCAGTCTATAATTTTAATGGTAGGTTTATTTGAACAGTGAGAAACAGAATAACAACAAAAAAATCCAGAAAAACACATGTCAAAAATTTTATAAATTGATTTGCATTTTAATGAGGGAAATAAGTATTTGACCCCTCTGCAAAACATGACTTAGTACTTGGTGGCAAAACCCTTGTTGGCAATCACAGAGACAATGTGATCTTCTGGAATTTCTTTTCTCATTTTGTCTGTCATAGTTGACGTGTACCTATGATGAAAATTACAGGCCTCTCTCATCTTTTTAAGTGGGAGAACTTGCACAATTGGTGGCTGACTAAATACTTTTTTCCCCACTGTATGTATCTATCTATATTTGCAGGGAAAAAAACATATGGGGGATTGGAAGTGACAATTACATTGATGGAAGTTAAAATCTATCTGCAATATTAAAGCTGATCTACCCCCTAAACATTTTTAAAAAACATAACACTTTTTATTCAGGACAAAGTTAATTGCTTTGCCACATTTATTGCAGTATTACTTTAGTGCCTTGTTGAAAACATGTTTTGGAATATTTTTATTCTGTGCAGGCTTCCTTCTTTTCAGTCTGTCAGTTAGGTTAGTATTGTGGAGTAACTACAATGTTGTTTTATCCTCAGTTTTCTCCTATCACAGCCATTAAACTGTGTAACTGTTTTAAAGTCACCATTGGCCTCATGGTGAAATCCCTGAGCATATTCCCTCCTCCGGCAACTGAATTAGGAAGGACGCCTGTATCTTTTGTAGTGACTGGGTGTGTTGATACACCATCCAAAGTGTAATTAATAACTTCACCATGCTCAAAGGGATATTCAATGTCAGCTTTTTTTATTTGTACCCATCTACCAATAGGTGACCTTCTTTGCGAGGCATTGGAAAAGGGGTTGAATACTTATTGACTCAAGACATTTCAGCTTTTCATTGTTCATTCATTTGTAAAAATGTCGAAAAACCTAATTCCTCTTTGACTGTGGGCTATTGTGTGTGTGTGTGTAGGCCAGTGACAACAAAATCTCAATGCATTTTAAATTCAGGCGGTAACACAACAAAATGTGGAAGAAGTCAAGGGGTATGAATACTTTCTGAAGGCACCGTATGTGTCTGTCCCTGCCTTTATCGCAGTCTCTCTCCATCTCCCTCCTCAGATCTACACCCATTGGGTGGACTCAAAAAACTATGTGGACGTGACGCGGCGCTGGTACGCCGAGAATATCCCCTTCCCACTCAACTTCCTGCTGCCCAACCGCATTCACAACCAGCAACTGGAGAGGCTGAGGCTGGTGAGGGGGGACTCCACACTGGAGCCCGGGGAGCAGCTGGAGAAGGAGGTGAGGGTGAGGAGACATTATGGGAGAAGATACAAGTGTGAATTGACACAATGGGATTCGGCAAATGGGCAGGTGGAGGGAGGAGATGGAAGGTGAAGAAGAGGAGGGTACAAAGAAGAAGAGAAGAGGGGAACAAAGAGTTTACATAATTAAGACAGTGAGAATGAAGAGATGGAGGAGAGCGATGAAAGAGGGTATTGAGAAGCACAGAGAAATTAGGTGAAAAATGAGTTGCACCGCAGGGGCAGAAATTAGATGTGAAAGGATAGGGGTTATACGGTCAAGTCTATGGAAGGACTATTATCATTGAAAATGGCAGCTAGCTATTACTAGAGAGAGACCCTTGTAATGGCACTTTGGTACACTGACGTGGAGAGGGTAGTTCATAGTAATTTAATAACCCCAAGAAGCCAAAACAGTCTGTTTTCACAACGTGGTAATTGGGTGAGGCGGTTCATCTCCATGGTGAAGGGGTATTGTTTTCAAAGTCCCCCCCTAAAAATGTTTTTATGCTATACTTTATGCACAACGTGCTTTGACTCTGTTTGTAACTCGGGGATGGGCAACTCCAGTCTTCGGCGGTAACCGGAGTTGCCCATCCCTGGTTTAACTGTACACAACAATGTTCTGGCTTCGTTGAAGGATGGTTCATAAATAAGCCCCATGGGCACTTGCTCGCTGACAACCTTTTTCATGAATGCAGATACAGCTGTTCAGGCTGTGAATGCCTTTGTGTGTCCATGCTGATGGTTGTCTGGGGGCTTTTCATCTCCACAGCTCTACCATGATGCGTTGGAGTGCATGACCCTGCTCTCTCAACGCCTGGGCTCACACAAGTTCTTCTTTGGGGATTCGTAAGTGGCTGCTGTGTGCAAACTGCAAAATGCAAACAAATTGCATGTATAACACGTTTGCCACACTGTCTTTCATATGAGTGTGTGTGTACTGTCGTGATGAAGCCCCTTTGTGCATTGTCTCCCCAGCCCATCCTCTTTGGATGCCTATGTGTTCGGTCACCTAGCCCCCCTGCTGAAGGTGAAGCTGCCCAATGGGAAACTCCAGCAACACCTCAACTCCCTGGACAACCTGCGGCACTACTGCACCAACATCCTCGTCCTCTATTTCCCCTCAGAGGGCGGAGGTACGTTCCCTGGAGGATTATTTCCGGTCCTCGAGCAGTACCCCAAACCGTACACACATTTGTTGTAGCACAGGACAAACACATCTGATTCAACTAGTCAAGTGGATGACTGGGTGATTCAGGTGTGCTTGTCTGTGGCTACAACAAAAATGTGTACTGTTTGGGATACTCGAGAACCAGAGTTGAGAAATGCTGATCTTGAGTGCCTAGTCTAGCAGTCTGATACTCAATTCCAAAACACTGAAAACTCTAACTGTATTGAGAATCAATTGCAAAAATGGGTTCTGTTAGGATCCAGTGTGTGCAGAGACTTTGACTCTCATCCCGTTTTGTCTTCTCTGTTTTAGAGCCACCCATTCGCAAGGTGTCAGTCCATTCGGACGGTAGTGACTTTGACAGCGAGCCCCATAAACGACGCAAGCAAATCCTGTCGGTACTGTTCGCCATGGGTTCGATGCTGGGCTACGCCATTTTGATGGGGATCGTCAGCATCCAGCACATCCGACCGCAGGCAGCGCTAGTGGGACCCCGTCACATCGAAGAGGGAGGCGAGGAGGAGGAGGAGGAAGAGAAATGAGCAGTACAGGCTCGGTGTAGGACCAGGTAGAAGGAGGCGTTGTGAGGGGAAAATGGACGTTCTCTGACTTATTCCGTGCACTGCATATTGACGGACAATAGGGGAACAGGAATTACGTTCCTTAAAAATCTCAATCTCCCACAATGCACTATAATCCTCTCAGTACAGACCACTTCTTGGCATCCACAAACATGCCTAGTTATGCGGTCTCTTTTTTTGGTGCTTGATTTTTGTTTTCTCGACATCCCAGGAAGGCATACCTTTTCTTGTCTCAGAATCTTCAAGAACGCTTTCATATAATTCAAGAATGGTTGCCTTTCCTTTTTTCAGGTTTCTTTCTTTCAGGTTGGGGGTGGGGGGTGTTGAGCCACTTTCTGAAATGTTTTGTCAGATTTCACTTGCACAAACAGAATTTTGACTTGATTTCAGGTCATTAAAAGTAAAAATGCTGAACCATCTGTCACAAGGTGTTTTTGTATGTTTGCCAAAATTCCAGTTTCTCCAAGCCTCAAATGTTACCCTACCCCTAAAATCACAATGGAAAACAGACAGAATTATATAGCAGAGCAGATATATTAACTGGAAGTTATTATTTAAATTGCTTGATCTTTCCAAGAAGGGGAAGGAGACAGACATTAGGTTAACACAGAGAAGGTTTCTATCACAAGAGGAAAAACAATACATTATTTATACACTGAACAAAAATATAAACGCAACATGCAACAATTTCAAAGATTTTACTGAGTTACAGTTCATATAAGGAAATCAGTCAATTGAAATAAATCAGTAGCCCCTAATCTATGGATTTCAAATGACTGGGCAGGGTCGCAGCCATGGGTGGGCCTGGGAGGGCATAGACTAGCCAATCAGAATTAGTTTTCCCCCACAAAAGTGCTTTATTACAGACAGAAATACTCCTCAGTTTCATCAGCTGTCTGGGTGGCTGGTCTCACACGATCTCGCAGGTGAAGAAGCCGGATGTGGAGGTCCTGGGCTGGCGTGGTTACACGTGGTCTGCGGTTGTGAGGCCAGTTGAACGTACTGCCAAATTCTCTAAAACAACGTTGGAGGCTGCATATCAATTCCCTGGCAACAGCTCTGGTAGACATTCCTGCAGTCAGCATGCCAATTGCACGCTCCCTCAAAATGTAAGACAACTCTGGCCATTGTGTTGTGTGACATAACTGCACATTTTAGAGTGGCCTTTTATTGTCCCCAGCACAAGGTGCACCTGTGTAATGTTCATGCTATTTAATCAGCTTCTTGAAATGCCACACCTGTCAGGTGGATCGATTATCTTGGCAAATGAGCAATGTTCACTAACAGGGATGTATATGAAAAAATTCTGGGATCTTTTATTTCAGCTCATGAAACATGGGACCAACACTACATGTTGTGTTAATATGGACCTCCACATCTGGCTTCTTCACCTGCGACCAGCCACCCGGACAGCTGATGAAACTGGGTTTGTAAACCCAAAAAATTTCTGCACAAACTGTCAACCATTTCAGGGAAGCTCATCTGCGTGCTCGTCGTCTTCACCCGGGTCTTGACCTGACTGCAGTTCGGGGTCGAAACCGACTTCAGTGGGCAAATGCTCACCAAATGCTACTGGAGAAGTGTGCTCTTCACTAATGAATCCAGGTTTCAACTGTACTGGGCAGATTGCAGACAGCGTGTATGGCGCTATTGTTAAATGAATATCCCTTATTTACCAGAGCTCAATGAAACAAATCTGATGCACACAAATGAAACGGACTCATTGCACCATAATTAAACATGCATTTTCAGTTTATCAGTATGCAAGCTGGAGACCGCGAGCGCACAGAGGCAATTGCCCTTTTCACTGTCTCTAGAAGTTCGCAGCCCAGCTCATGTTTCTCATATGGGAGATGAGGAGTGTTCGGCGCAGCACACCCCAAGCTGCTCGGATCACGAGCGCGTCCCGCTGACATATTTCACCTTCACCCCGAAGCATTCTTCTGCCTAGGAGAGTGAGACAGTGCGAGCCAAAACTCCTTGACAACCCCAGCCGCGCTGGTCTTCTTCGCACACTTCCACTCACGTTTCGTTACTTCGGTGGAGTTACAGTTGAAAAGTTATACATTAGATTATTTGTGGAGCGTTCTTAAACCTTGTGCCTAGAGCATGGATATGGGGAGGCTTGTGCTACGTTTGCTGCTTGCAAGCGCAGCGGTTCTCTTGGGCTTCACCAGAGCTTCAGAAATGCAAGGTAATTAAAAATATAACGCATGCTTTGACAAAATAGTATTCTGATGTTAGTTTTAATTGCATTGTAAGTGAAGCCACTCTGCATCGTTCACTGGCTGTATGCCACAACTTCTATGTAAAATAATTCAATAGTAAAAAGGCTAATGATTATTATGGTAATTCCTATCAAATTTACTTTCGCCGTTTTGAGGCATTCTGATAAGGCTACGTTCAATTTACCCAATTTTTTTACCAAATGGACACTTCTGTCCCAAACGCGAAATGTGCACTATTGTGGACTGCTTGCCATCGCTCACCACCTCGTTCAATATTTGGGTTCATGCAAATTGAAGGACCACATCACAAAAACGCTCCAGATGCGTCCTACATCATCTCTATCGTTTTACATTGCAATGCCATCTGAATAATAAGTGACAAATATTACTCATACATTTGCTTTATAAAGAGCTCCTAAACTTGAAATGGTAAACATATCTAACCTACTCTTGTCCTACTTAATTTAGTATACACTGGCTGCTGTCTCTATACATTTACATTTTAGTCATTTAGCAGACGCTCTTATCCAGAGCGACTTACAGTTAGTGAGTGCATACATTTTTTTTCATTTTTTTTTTTTTCATATTGGTCCCCCGTGGGAAACGAACCCACAACCTTGGCGTTGCAAACGCCATGCTCTACCAACTGAGCTACACGGGACTATGTATGTACTACACAATAAAATACAATACAATAGAGATTACCAGATGTCCTGCTAAATGCAGTTTAAGATAGCAATAAGATTCCACCAGTGAAACAAAGAACACTCACTGATGGGTCCGCCTCCCACTAGAAGGTGTTTGCTGAACCATATGGTGCAATGGAGCCAAACAGATGATGGGCATCCATAGTTTTTCACAGGGACCTGCCCACGATGATGTTGCAGCGATCGAATGGCTGTCAGCTCAAGGTGTGTGCACATGTCAACTATGACCTAGGGAGAGCGAGAAGGAGATATATATTCTAATTACACCTGTCCATCACACTGATGACTAATGGGTACTGGCCCATACAACAGTCCTTTTAAAGAGAAGGACCACCTCACAAATTCTTAACCCCTAGGGTCATTGCTGTTCTGCCTTTTCATTCACTAGGGCTGCTTTCAGTGCGACTGAACATTCAGAATGGTGCAAATAGAAATGGTAGGTATAGACTGGACTCACTCAGTAGCAGTTTACAAGTGATTTAACAGAGTGTTCTGAAAGTTGAGGATAGAGGAAAGAAGAGGGTGTCCAGAAGGAGACCTTTCGGATTGGATCATACAGTGGGGGGTGATAAAAAAAAAAAGCCTTTGGCAAGGGGGATATCAAATGCAAAGAGTCTTGTTTTTGCAAGCCTGGACAGACTCAGGGAAGCTCCAATGATGTTGATCTCTACCCCCTTCAATGCTTGCAGCTTTGACTTTCAGCCATGTGTCAGAGTGAATATCTGTGACGTGAGAGAGAATGGGAGAAGACTGAAGAGAGAATGAGTGTGAGATGATAAGGACTTGGAGGAAGATCAACAAAGAAAATAAAAAGAGGACCAAGTAGAACTAAACAACAAGCAACGCAACAGTTGAGATGGGGAAGAGACAGAGAAAAATTGATTGAAAGCAAAGGTGACCAACAAGAGGAGTTAGCATTGTGTGACAATGGAATAAGATGCCATGGAATGACCGGGGTGCTGATGTGCCCAACTGGGTTCGAACCAATGATTTACATATACACTATCAAGCCTCCAACTTGGCACTCCCCCACCATTGTAAAAAACATTTTGGAAGCAATAGAAATGCATTTATTAATGTCTACATTTATTTTTGCCACATTAATTCTATTACAGACATCTTCATGAATACCTTTAAATTATATGTGAGCTAAACATAAGAATAAATAAAAATACTTAAAGTATAATTGTTTGATATTTTAAATGTTACTGCCCCCACTACCACAAAACAATACTGAAATACATATAATTTTGTCCTTGAAACATTTAATTTAAATACTGTAGAATTCCATTCATTCCTATCGAGGACTGCTTCTTCTAAGGAGTGCTAATATTGCCAACCGGTTGCTTCAAATCCTGTCATTGGCCAATACATAGCATCAGCAATCCAGGGTTTATATACATAATTGGTTTGAACTCAGATCTCCTGCACACCACAATACTGTGTTAACCCGCTGAGCTAAAGCCTAGGCATTAGGTTCATTACTAACTGGTGATTTGGTAAACCATGCAGAGATGAGTACTACTGGCGGTGACCCGATCCTGTAGGTTCATGCTCTACAACATTCGGAGAGTACGACCCTGCCTTACACAGGAAGCGGCACAGGTCCTAATCCAGGCACTTGTCATCTCCCGTCTGGATTACTGCAACTCGCTGTTGGCTGGGCTCCCTGCCTGTGCCATTAAACCCCTACAACTCATCCAGAATGCCGCAGCCCGTCTGGTGTTCAACCTTCCCAAGTTCTCTCACATCACCCCGCTCCTCCGCACACTCCACTGGCTTCCAGTTGAAGCTCGCATCTGCTACAAGACCATGGTGCTTGCCTACGGAGCTGTGAGGGGAACGGCACCTCCGTACCTTCAGGCTCTGATCAGTCCCTACACCCAAACGAGGGCATTGCGTTCATCCACCTCTGGCCTGCTGGCCCCCCTACCTCTGCGGAAGCACAGTTCCCGCTCAGCCCAGTCAAAACTGTTCGCTGCTCTGGCACCCCAATGGTGGAACAAGCTCCCTCACGACGCCAGGACAGCGG